TAAGTCAGAAGAGACATAAATATATTTATACATTGACTTATTTTAAAATGTGATGAAGAGGGTGATGATTCAGGAAACTGAGAAATCCAAAGAGTAAGCTCCTTAAGGAGGTGAGAGTACAAGTAGAAACCCAGCCTTGGTCAGGATTAACACCATGACAGAGAAAAGGAGAGGAAGAAGAGGCATGACTGGGAATACACATAGGTTTGGGGGCTAGAAATTAATGTTCCCATGTATAGCCTCTATTTTCTCTGTGAAATCATTATTGAAAGTGATGAGCAAAGTATCTTAAAAAGAGTACTAAAAGTTTAACATCACTATTGTGGCAAACACAGCAAGTCACTAACAAATGAAATGCTGAAAACGATGGCTATATTATGTGGCACTAATCCACACAGATATACAACTATCTTCAAGCTCATCACCAACCTGAGGAAAAGGGAAATAAAAGACAAACAGTAAATCTGACCACCCTTAGTGTTTCAACAGATGGCAAAGTTAATGCAAAAGGAATTAAAGTAATGTGTGCTTAGTCACTCAGTCGTGTCTGACTCTCTGCGACCCCATGGACTGTAGCCCACCAGGCTCCTCTGTCCATGAGAATTCTCCGGGCAAGAATACTGGAGTGGGTTGCCAAGACCTCCTCCAGGGGATCTTGCCAACCCGGGGATCAAACCTAGGTCTCCCATATGGCAGGCGGATTCTTGACCGTCTGAACCACCAGGGAAGCCCAAAAGGTAAATGTACTGCTTCTTAATGTATTGCTTCCCAGCTCCAAATTCAAGCTTCTTGCCCTCTCTGTGAAAATAATCCTGGGCCCTTAAAGTATTTTTTCATTGCTCACTGGCACCATTAGAGGTTTTATCAGGAGAGGCAGAGCCTGGAGAGACACTGTTGGAGGAAAAGACAGGCTAAAGAAGCCTACTTCAATGCAAGGCAGTCACAGCCCCCCTGGTAGAGCTGCCCTCACCTTGAACAATTTGCATAAGAGTGTCTCCAGGGAGAATCCTCCCCACGGTTACCTTTTCCCTCCCAACATGTTCCAGAGGGCAGATTTCTAGCAAATTCTGCAGCATAACACTTTTCTGCCATCCAATGAGCCACATCTAGGTTTTCAAGAGGTCCCAGTCAGCTTGGCAGGGTCCCTCTTTCCTGGGCATTCCCCTAAAGGTAGCACCTTAGTAACTGCTCCTTATAGCTTCTACTCCTATTTTCAGCCATTCTCTTAACTTCTTTTTTGAAAATTAATTACATAATTTATTTTTGGTTGTTGCACTAGGTCTTCCTTGCTGTGTGCAGGCTTTCTCTAGTGGCGGTGAGTGGGGACTACTCTTTGTTACGGTGCACAGGCTTCTCATTTCAGTAGCTTCTCTTGTGGAGCACAGGCTCTAGGCCCATCGGCTTCAGTAGCTGTGGACTTAGTTGCCCCACAGCACGTGGAATCTTCCCAGACCAGGGATCGAACCCATGTCCCCTGCACTGTCAGGCAGATTCTTAACCACTGGACCACCAGGGAAGTCCTCTCTTACCTTCTTACTAGCCAATCCCTCACTACTTTAAGCCCCTGTTTCAGTTCATACTTTCTTTCTAGTAACTGTTTCCTGTTCAAATTCCTGTGTGTTTTCTCTCTCCTGATTGAACATAGACTGATACAGTGGTCAGGAAATATAATAAAATCAGGAGAAGACAGGTAGCTTAAAAAAAAAAAAAAACCAGAAGTCAGAGCTCTGAAGGTCTCTTTGAACTTATAGATTGTTTCTAGGGAGAGTAAAGGAGTGAGAAAACTGAAAGGGTGGGAGCCTGCAGCATAATTTTAGGTGTAGAAAAGAACCCCTCTTCCTACTCCCCAGCACCCTTCACACCTCACTCATAAAGTGGTAACCCACCAACATTTCTTCCCTCTTGAGAAAGTATTATGGGAGATGCCCTTGTCATTTTCTCCACCTGTGAGCACCTGAGTTATGTCAGCCCACAGCTCTCTGCTGCATGGGGCAGGCACAGTATGTCACTGCTCAAACGTGGCCTTCTCTGGAGAGGCCCATAGGTGTGAGGTTAGCTGAAACACGCTGTGCTGTCTCTGGGAGCACATCTCTCTCCACCACCGTGGGCTCTGAGGTTTACTGCCAGAAGAGAAGGCTCCCACTGCAGCAGCAAATCCCAGCCACACTTTCCAAGCTAGATTTATCAGCAGCAAAGTAGATCCTAAACTTCAATTCTCCTTTAAGGTTTTCTACTACCTTTCCAACTAATTGAAAACCAAAAAAAGGATAATGAGTGTTTTGAAAATCCTAGATTTAGAATTTGAGATTTCTGAAGAATCTCTTGGTAGAACATTTGTCCACCATGACAAGGACAGAAAGAGGTCATGGGAGTGGGATGCTAGGGTGGAATGAATGGAGGATCACTGGGATCATAGGTCTCTTAAGAACAGCAGCTACTGGGTGTTGAACATGATCTCTACTGAAGTCACCTGAGCTGAAAATGAGTTTAGGATGGAGAGGAAAACATGTAATCCAAGTTCTAAATATTTTGATGAATGCAAGGGAGCAACCAGGACTTGATGGTGACAATGAAGAGAACGGAAAAGGTTGCCAGAGCTGGTAACACCTTGGCCTTGAAAGAAGACTTGTTATAGGAAGGTGAAGGAATAATGTTTGGAAGCCACAAATGGAGAAGTCATAGCTGATCCTGGCCTTTAGATTCTTTGAGTTTGGGCCAATAAATATCCTTCAATGAAGGGAGTTGAAGGGTAAATAAGAATCTCAGGAAGAAAGCTAGGTTTTACTTAAGGCAACATATAAAATGTTTTGAGAAGACAGTATAAATATACAACCATGCCTGATCTAGAGAGCTTAATGAAAAGGGAGGTTCAAAGGGTGGAAAGCAAAGAATAAAAGTCAAAAACTGTCCAGGAACAAGCCGTCTCATCCTGTGCCATCGGGACTGTTGGTTTTCCAGTAAGTTGGATACAATAGGAAATGATAAAAAAAAAAAAAGATTCATACATACCATAAACACTTTATATAACTTAAAACATAAATGTACACACATGTGCCAATCTTTTGATGTAAGGCCAAGGCCTGTTTTCTGCATATGGATCTGCTGATTGGAGTTATGTGTCTTCTGTCTTACATAAACCACATCCTCCGTCTATGATTTCCAGTTTTGCTTTCTTCAAAGTGGACAGGAAACCTAAAGACACTTGGGAAATAATCTGAATGCAGAGCGCATCTAGGTTTTTATAAGTCTCTCCACATCCTTTTAACCTTTTTCTACCTACATCTAGTCCAAATCAGAGCTTTCATAGCTAACCTTTAAGTCATTCCAAAGCTGAGTTTTTATGGAAACAAAATCAAAAGTCTTTTTTGCATTTGATCGATTTATTTACTCAATTTATTTAAATGAGGACAGCTGGCTAAACAAATTTGAGAACAAACAGCACAATTGGCCATTAGAAAGAAGGCAGTCTTACTGGTGGGAGCAGGAAAGCATCGGCAACCTAAAGAGAAACTCTTGGCTGAAGAAGATACCTGTATGCAGTAACCCATGGGGTTAAATAGAGAACATGGTACCAGTTACTTCAACAAGCCAATTAAGAGGAGACCAATACTGCACAAGTGACAAGACTGACCACATTTAGGGGTAAAGGCAAGGATATCAGGGATATGAAGTATTATTAAATGGCTTCAAGTTTCCAAACGAACAGCTGGTGTGAAGAGCTGACATAAAGACTGTTTTGTTGTTCCCCATTTACTTTTTCCTCGGTCCTTTAATGCCTATGGCTTTTCCCATTTTAAAGAAGAGAAAACAACATTAAGGAACCAGGTAGAAGAATAGAAAGAAAACTAGAGAAGCGCTCTGAAGCTCCGGAGCCACTTCTGGGCCCCATGCTAGTTCCACTGAACTCCTGTTCTTTTAGCATTGACAACTGTAAATTCCTAAGTTTAGCCTCTTTTCCTCTTTCACTACTTACATCTTTTCTACTGAGTTTTCCACCAGTTAACTAGGAATCAATACTCATACTCATTCTCTCGTTCTTCCCACTGGTTTTTTAGGAACATTACTCACAGTAACCGCACAGAAAGGGAAGGGTAACAAAACCAACGAAATCAGAAGTAAATATACTTTCAAGAAATGAAGTAACAATATTAACTGTCATAGGGCTAGGCCTACCCTATCCTAACATAATTAATGATTTCCTTCTTACATTTTTCAATTTGGGGTGTCCCTTTCATGTCCCACACAATTCCTCCATGTTCCTCAGCAAAGAGGCCCCAGATTGGGAAGTCTCTTACCTACTATTCTCCATCAATAAATATTACAAGGAGGGGAATATTGGGTGCTAAGAAAAATGGCCATTTATAGATTAGCCACCATTTACTGATAACTTGCTATGTTTAATCAATGTGTTAAGTGCGCCTTGGGTTTCTGACATCATCTTGTTTGATCTTCTCTGAGGTGATATTATAACTATCATCATCATCACCCCATTTCACAGAGGAATTGACAAAAATATAAGGATTAAGTATGATGCTGAAGGTCACACAGCAAGTAAACAGCAGAGCCAGGATTTGAATCTAGATAAGGGCCCAGGCCCTAAGGTCCAGTTAAACCACTACACCACAATGCCCCCTTCCCAGACATCCAGGTTCAAGTGGGATTCATTTAAAACTTAGAAAAATTATCTTTTGATATATACAATTTCACTGATTCCCTTGCCCTAACAATGAGTCCCAACCATGCACCACAAGAAAAATTGGTTTAGGGCATTCACTTGATTATTCTAAAGTGATGTTTACCTGATTAAGACAACAACCCTATTTGAAATGGGGTGAGACCCAACTATCATGAAAGCGATTCCCACTCAATACTTTTTACAATCCTTCCCCTTGAGCAAACACAAAACCTTCAGAACAAAGTGGAGGGCCAGTGAAAGAGAGACATGTAGCAGGGTAGGAAAGTGGGTAAACTGGTTGGAAAGTTACATAATCCAAACTTACCTTTTTGGTACACTTCTTGACAGTGTTGATTAATTCTTGTATTACCAGATCTACACTCTTCAAGGAAGGCCCCTTCAGCTTTACAATTTGTTTTTTGACAATTGCTTCAAATGCCATGTCTGGAGTAAACAACCCTGTCCTGGATGTAAGAAAGAAAATAGCATGTTAGATATTTTAAATTGAATGATAATCAGTACTCTTTTAACAATGTTTTAATTGGCATGCTACTTAAACTAAGCATGTAAAGTCCTCATTAAAAAGGTACATAGTGATTAATTCTATTCACAGCAACATTTGTAATATTTTAATACATTCTATAGATGATTAACACTACCCAAAAACAGTTTCCCAAATGTTTTCAAGGCCCATAATGTGACCTTCAATATTTAACTGTCATTTGTCTCATCTCACTCTTTCATAGCAGGACAAAGGAATGCTACAATAGAAGTGGTGTCCTAAATGTACATTTTTGTTTCTAAAGTATTCCAAAAACAATCCCTTCTTGTCCTTCATGGAGTAGGAAATTATCTTCATATCTTGAACACTGAAACAGTAACATTCCTGAACTATATAACATATTCTTTCCAGGAGAGCTGTATTATACTAAGTTCAGAGGTTCCCAGTTTGAGATCCTGGGGTACTGGAGAAAAAAAAAGGCAGTTAAGTGGAACTAGCTTGGGACCCTGAATGCCTAAATTGTGAATTTACAAAAATAACAAATGATAACCAAAGTAACAAGGATCTTTTTCATCTGGCTGGAATCAATTCAAACTGGTGTCACAACAGGGCTTTTCTAACGCTGTGCAGACGCTCAGGGAAGCAGGTATATGCATGTGTGTGTGTGTTTCACAAAAAATGAAAAATGATTACTCACATCTAAACAAAAGGACAATGGGAAAAATCTACTGTAAAAGGGATCTTGAACCCTGACAAACACTATGCCCAAAGATATGCAGGCTCCAGACACTGGTGGCTGATCTCCCCATCCTAGACTCTCCTCCCTTCCCCTTATTTGATTACCCTCTCTTCCTTCAACACTCAATTTCATGGTATCTCTTTGGAGAGTTTCCTCTGCACTTTCCTTTTAGCAGCCTTATTCTATGTCTCTCATTTACTTAGCACTTTGTGCCCTCCTCCATTTCTAGCTGCACTGTAGTAGTCATATTATACTGTCAATTGTAACTTCTCCACTTTGGATACAGAATAAAATACATGTTTTTAGTCTGACATTAAAACTGTTCCCCTGTCTGTCACTAATCTCCCTTGTGGTTATTTTCCTGCTTCCTCTCATGCACACGAGGTTTCAGCCAAACCAGACCATTTGCCTTTCCACAAAAATATTCATGCTAATATTTTACGCCTTTTCCTTCATCTAAGATGTTCATTTCACTTTTCCCACAATTTCAGCCTGTCCAAATCCCACCTGTGCTTCAAAGGCCAGATCAAAAGCAACCACTTCCTACAGCTCGCCTTCTATAGTCCTGCCACTGACTGGGTCTTCCTTCTCTGAACCCCAGCATCTTATTTTGCACTACAGTGATATGAGCACATATTTTGGTCCTATGACTATCCTAGTAGGAAGAGTCATTAGAGCATTTACCTTTGTTTTCTCCACAAGGAGGGATCCCCTGCTCATCACTGGCACTCAGTGTTAGCGGAACAAAAGACCATTAAATCCTCACTGAGTAAAGGTGGTTTCTATTATTCAAATATCTAATAGAATCAGTTGATAACAAAACATTTTAAATTAAGTGTATTTAAAAGCCTAAATAATTGCACTATTAGCATGTGTTATACTCAGGACATTGTGCACTTCTTATCATTTTGTGTGTGTGTGCATGCGTTTTAGTCACTAAGTTGTGTCCAACTCTTTCGCAACCCCATGGACTATAGCCTGCCAGGCTCCTCTGTCCATGCAAATCTCCAGGCAAGAATACTGGAATGGGTTACCATTTCATTTTCCAGGGGATCTTCCCCACCCAGGGATCAAACCCGTAGCTCCTACATTGCAGGTGGATTCTTTACCACTGAGTCACCAACCAGCTTATAGGCAAATTAATTCCAGAATAATAGTAACAGTCAATCTCTTCTGTTGGTGGACATGTAAATCAGAAATCTATAATCCTGACTTAATGCATTTTTGCAGTTACATTCAATAAAAATGTAATCAGTAAGAACTTTTAAAAGTCAAATAAAAAACACTGTATTTAGTTAAGCAAAAAGACTTTTTTAGCCCTCTCCCAAAACACAATTTGGTTCTATTGCATTTATCAGACTAATACCTGTGAATACTAGTTCTGTCCAGCTAAAGAAAAAGACAGTTTCTATACCAAATGTCTTCTGGAGTTGAGAGAGAGGGAAGAGAATTAATAGGGAACTTAGAAATCCTGTTGATGGTTAGAGATGTTTTCTCTTTTTCACTTTATGAATGCATATTTACATATTTACCCATACTATTTGAGACTTGTAGAGTAGACTTTCCAAATTCCATAAGGATAAATTCAAATGTCACAACTCCTTTGGAAAATCACCCATCATGGGCACACTCAGTGTAAAATTGTGCTCTCTCAGCTTCTGTTCCCCAAATAGTCTCAAACTGGCCCTGAGGCAGAAGCTGAGACACAACCAACCAATAGACTGGGGACCCCCTCCTTCATGTAAGATCATCATGAAGTAGGCAACCTAAGTCTTCTAACTTTGAATCAATTTAGCATATGCTCTATTACATTGTATTTAGCCCTCTTTTAACATGAACTCACAAAATGTACTTTAAATTCATTTATTTTCCTATCCCAGTTCTTACGAAAGTAAATGAGTACAATCCCACTTTGTATGAGGGGGAATTCAGGCACAAGTTCTCCTCCCAACTTCCTCTCCACTCTCCTATATTTCTAACTCCAGTCCAAATGCAGGGCTCCCTGCTCCATGAACACATGCTACTCTTTGCCTCCTCCGTGTCTTTGCTCACACTACTCCCTCCACTCTAAGCCCCTTCTCATCTCCTCCAGCCTCAACAATCTCTCGCCTCTCATATCTTTTGGCATTGCCATCTACCCCATACACACACACATTCACATTTATACACACAGACACCTTTCCTTGTTGAAATCGTTCTTGTTCTCAAAACAAGCAAGGTTTGACTTTAAAATAACCACCTTCATCCACCTTCATTAATCTTCCCCAATCTTGCTCCATAAATCCAGTCAAATTTAATCCATCTAGTCTTGGTGTAAGTGATGATCACTTATGAGCAAGTCTGGCCTTTGCCTCTGAAATATATATACAGCCCCAAAGAACAAGGTCTTGTTCATCAGTAAATCCCCAACTGTTGAGAGCATGGTGCTGAGAGTGCAGACAGGATTTTTTATTTTTCAGTGGAAAAAGACAATATGACAATACTAGAAATTATCACTGAACTCAAGCAAGAATTTCCTATTTCTTATTTCTCACTGCCACCTCTGCATTCTACTCTGCTCAGATGATGAAAAGGCTACTTCACTAGCCATTTATAAACACTAATTTTTTTAGTAGCTTGAACTGAAGACAAGGAAAACGTGAAGCACTTGCCTGATACCATGTATGTTTTTGATTGCATAGCTTATTTCTCTTCGCAATTCTTTCTCATTGAACTCCATCTGCGGAAGCAAAATGAGCCACAGTTATGACACTCAATTCCTCTGAATAATAATATTGTTGAATATTTAAAAATGAGAATAACTTGACTTCATTATTAATAAATGGATACTCATGTCTTTCCTAACCTAAATCCAGATGGTCAAGACATCTGTTTATATAAAGTTCAAGGCAACACAGAATGTTAGGGATTTCTGGGAGTTTTAGTGCAGCAGATTTTAACTCTTTTATAGATAAGGAGTGCTACACATAAAGGATGTCTTCTGTACATAAATCCGGCCATTCATTTGAAATATATAATTCTTCATTCTTTGCTGAATGTAGTAAATCTATTCACAGACAAATGCATACATAAGTGTCACCTGATGTACAACAGTAGTCCAGCTGTGTTAAGAATTAACAATGGCTGTCTCTTCTCCCTGGCCATGTTAAGCACCTGAGTTCAAAATTTATTTAAAACAGGAAATTAATAATATTTTGCCAATCCTACACAAGATAGATTACTGTATTAAAATTTTCCCAGAAATTCTAGGTGCCTTAAATTTATTGGAAGTAGGATCAAAGTGTCATAGAGCTTAGACCTGAAAGGGATATCAAGAGAGCATTTGGGTCAGCTCCTAACTTTTGAGATTTGGCCTCTCCAACATCATTGCCTGTGCATTTCCCGCCCCCCTCACACTTTATGCCATAGAACAATGAACTGCTTTAGTTCTACATCACAGCCTTTACCACTCCTCCCTTTCTGTCTGGAAAAATCTCCTCCTCAGCCCCACCTCACCTATTCCTGCTTAACTAGCTGCTCAACCTTCTGGGCTCAGAAGCCAAGCTCCCTTACACAGTCAGGCTGGGATTCATTTCCGTGGATTGTGTTTCCACAGCATCCTGTGCTGAAGTTTGTCACTTTTTTTTATAACACATATTAGTGAAACTTTCTATTTACACATCTGCCTCCCACACCAAGACATAAGTATATGCCTCTGTATGTGAGACAAATAACATAGTCCCTAAAACTACCTCGCTGCCTATGGGGCATTTTAAACTTAACATCTCTGAAACAAAATTCTTGGTTCATACCTCCACACTGAACTTTTTATCAGTTTCCTCATCTGATGGACACTAACATATGCTCAGTTGCGCAAGTCAAAATCTTGGGAGTCATCTTGAATCTTCTCTTTTTTGCATTTCCCATAACAATCCAAGCCCCATTGACCCTTCCTTCAAAATCATGAATCCATCCACTTCTCTCAAGCCTCTATGTTGAGGCATTTCTACTATAAAGCTAAAGAAGTTTAAGTTTCAGAACTTCTCTCTTGCATAAATTCCTTACAAGATCCTGTGCCTGTGTATTTATAATTTTGCATTCTTCAAGGGGGGTCCCCAAATTGTATAGACTTCAGGTCCCCTACAAAGTGGATTCACCCCTGCTTCGGCCCTACTGTTTAACCCATCTTGTCTCCTTCAAATAACTTTTGCCCCTTTACAATCCAACCCAGACAGTGGTCTTTTAAAATCACCAACCAAGTCAGGTCACACTTTTTCTTAAAACTCTCCCCGGACTTCCCATTGTTAAATGTAAGCACTTTATCGCAACCTAGAAAGCTCTGCATAAACTGGACACTTCCTTCCTCTGAATTCATTTTCTCCCCCCTCCCCTTCATCAGCTCTGCACCAGCCTCAGTTGTTCCTCACCTGCTACACAGGTGCTTGCTTTAGGGCCTTGTCCTTGGCATCTTGCCTTAAACAACCTTCTTCCTCCAGATCCTTATAGCTGACCTCTTCATGCCATTCTGGTCATGCTTTAAGGGCTCCATAGTCAGAGAGACCTTGCCTGAACATTCCATCAAAAGTGGCTAATCTAATTCCATTCTCTCTCATATTTCATTATGTAATAATACTTGATTTTTTTTTCTTACTTTGTCTATTTGTCAATTTTCTGTCTTTTGCCCCCAGATAGTATCTCTATCTTGAACCCTGGCACCTAAGATCACTGGTGCACAGTAGCTGCTCAAGAAACATTTGTAAATAAATTGTACAACAAATAAGCATCATAGGAACCTGTTAGTAGTTGTTTAATTATTGAAACACCATTAGATTCTATTAAATAAAATCAGAACCATCAGTAAGAAAATAACTTCCCTCCTGAATTTCACTACCTGAGTATGGAGGTTTTTGTTTAAAGAATTATCTTAGTCACATACCATTCATATAACATTTTATGAACAGTTATGTAGAACAGAAAATAGAAATGAAACAAAAGGGAAGAATAACATTTGGTACAAACCTTTACTATCTCAAAAGGAAAGCGTTCGTGGAATATACGATTGATTTTAGCACCCCCTGAGAGCTCCAAGGTGTCTACTTGATCCCCTGACCCTTCAATTCTCTTCTCAAAATCCACAGCAAATTGTTGAACCATCCTGTAATTGCAAAAGAGAAATAAATTCAAGTCAAAGTTACAAGGCTTCGCATTTTTCACCTGAATTTGTTATGGTTATCCCTCAGAACTCTTTTCCTGGTGTTCGTAGTGGCACCTACTGGCAGAATCAACAGTGCACCCTAGTCAGTGCTCAAAATGTAACTATATGAAGTACACATGATCAAGATTTATTTCAGACATCCAGTTTAAAATATATACCTTAAACATCTGCATCATTAAATAAACATTCTGCCATTTAGCTGCAACTTTAAAACGGTATTTTAAAATACTTAAATTAGAAATACACTCCCATGTGTAAAATTGATAGCTAGTAGGAAGCTGCTGTATAACACAAGGAGCCCAGCCCAGCACTCTGTGAGAACCTAGAGGGGTGGGATGGAGGGTGGGGGTGGAAGGAGGTTCAAGAGAGAGAGACAGGACATGTATACACTTATGGCTATTTCACGTTGTTGTACAGCAGAAACCAACATAACATAGTAAAGCAATTATCCTCCAATTAAATTTTTTTTAAAAATCATCTAAGCAATAAAACTTCATATAAAATAGTTAAATGAGCCAGGACTCCCGTGACATCACTATCACCTAATGTTCTAACTGCTCCAGTAGAGTGCTCTCATACTTTATGAGCTACTCTCTCCCCTGACCTCAGCATTGCAGACCTCATTCTGCCAGAACAATGCAAATTTCTGGCCCTCCACCCTTGCCCCTTTGCAACTAGCTCTAGCCTTGTTTTACAATGACTCCCTAGAATTTAATAAAATTAAAACTCCTGACCCCATCACCTAAGATTCTCCAGGGTCTGTTCCTGGATGCCCCATCTCTTACTACTCATCCCCACTCACCTTCCAAACCAACTAAAAAGAAGCTATTTGGAGGTCCCCACGAGTACCACGTCTCTGCGCTTTTACACTCGTTTTCCTTTCTGCTCTGCTTTATGCTTCTTTGTCTGGCTAATTATTATCTGTCCTTCAAGACTCAATTTAAGCATTAGTTTTTTCAGGAAGCTTTCCATGATCCACAACTCCATCCACCACCACCACTCACTGCCACCCAGATGAAGGACTCCTTCTCAGCTTCCTCAGCATATTTTCAGCACAGCACGTAGCAGAAGGCATCACCATCACTCATCTATCAGCCTCTCTCCTATAGGCATGGACCATGCATACGATTTATTATCCCCTGCCTGGCATATGAGAGGTACTCAGCAAGTTCAGTGAAGGAATGAATTACCTCAAGGCAGTTGGTAAAAAACAAACCAAAAAAAAAACATGTTATGAAGAAAAAATGACTAGCTGTATTTCTGACTAGTAGGTTTAGAAAGTCTCAATTTTGACACAATGAAACTATTTTTAAATTCAAAATCTACTAGATTGAGAAAAAATTCAAGCCACCTAAAATCAGAATCTTATTCTCTTTCATTAAAATTATGGATGAAGTAAAAGGAACTTCAAATATTTAGGCCTAAAACTCTAGAATATAATTGGATATAGCTATGTTCATGCACATGCTAATATTAATCTAATTTTAAACATCTGGAAAGGTATGAAACATTGGGAAACCCCTGAAAATTCACCTCCAGCTAGTCCATTCCCGCACCCTACGCCCCAGCCACATGGCCCACTAGAACAAGTTGTACCGAAGTTCACACTATTCTCTTGACTTCCTTCTTCCACCTGACAAACTCCTCCCATACTTCAAGGTCTCATTCAAGGGAGTTCACACCCTTCCTAGTATGCATCTGCTCTTTATCTGGGCTCCCTTAACATTTAATACTTACCAGAAATGTAGCATTTATCAGATTTTAACAGTTAGTTGTTTATATATCTGTTTCTGCTACTCTACTGTGGTTTCTTCTTGAGGGTTAAAAATCTTATTCAATTCTGAATCCTCAGTAGATAGCACAGAGCCAGACATCAAATAGAATACAGAGATGTGAGCAAGGCAAGGGAAAGTAATGAAGAAAGGAAGGGAGGGAGAGAGGCAGGAAGGAAAGAAGAAGCTGAATCAGCTCCCTACAAGAGAGGAATCTAAATGTGGAAAATTGTAATGAATCCAATAGAATCACAGAGGCAAGACCTAGACTTTACAAAGACAACAGCTTCAGTTGAACATTAAGATGATGACCTAGGGCCTAAACAGAAATAGCTTTCCTTTCTCTGTAACTTGAAGATTTTTAATAGGAGTTTAACCAAAGCCAAGAAGAAAAAGAAAAGATAAACTATGAGAGAGTTGAATCCAGGAGAAAAAATTTTTCCTCTGTATGATCTTACTATTTTTTACATGGAGGAATATAAGATAATGCATTGAATATATTACATAAATAATTAAAACATTTAGAAATCCTCCTACAAATAAAAGGAATTATGTTGTGCATTTTAAAAGCCAGATTGGGGTATTTGATTACAAGACTACAGAGAGAGAAAGGGGCCTTAAAGAAGTGTCAAGCATCATCTTTAGAGATGGACTTCAGATATCCAGGAATGTAAGCTGGTCAGTGGGTGTCTTCTGGTGGAGAGAGACCTGGGGCAGTTTGAAGCACAGGGATAAATGGATAGATGAGGCTGAAAGGAACTGAAAGAAGGAATGAGGGTAAAAGATATCAGGGGATGGCAATTCTCCAATAACTCTGCTATCCTAACCCAAGAACCCTCAGGGATAAATCTAATAACCCAAGGATAAGAAGAAAAGATCATGAAAGAGTAAAAAGACACTTGGCGGTTTTCACATTTGCGTATTTAAAGGTCTACATTAAAATCATTATCAAATAGGAAAAAGAAAAATGTGCCCTAAGTCTGTACTTTTTTAAAAATTAAATCCTGATTCTCACTGCACTGAAAAATACACACAGAGAGATGATATGAAATGACTGAAATAAAAAATATAATAAGTACATGTGACACTAAGAGAAACAGTTGCACAATCCAGAGGACATTTTCAACAGGAACCTAGCCTACTTTTAAAGATTAAGGGCAAACAACCCTACTGAGTTATCATTGTTGGTTTTGCTCATTTACTGAATCCAATTAGAAAAACACAATAAAACTGGGCAGAGGATTGGGAATTGGTTAAATTTATACTGACAGAATTAAGATCAACAACTATTCTTTAAGAAAACAAAGACTCAAGGCTTATTTTACAACACATACAAAGCCTCACATACTTTACTTCTATGGAAAAAAACCTAGAAATTAGCATGACAAATAGACTAAGGAAAAAGCAAACTGAAGAAATGAGTTTCAAGTGCTGAACAAGGGAAGGGCAAGGTGACTCACTGCAGCAATGCTTTGGTCTTCCGGGTTGGGTCCTCTGGCTTGAAGTTTTTGTAGGCTTCTACTTCATGTTCTATGGACAGCAACTGGCCCTGTAGTTTGTTCCTGAAGTTGGGCAGGGTGTCTCGAATGTGGTTGGTAAGTTGCTAAATAAAACAAAACAAATTCACGCACACATATAAGAGACGGAAGTTCAACTCAGAAGAAAAAAATTGGCCTTTACTGTTTTCCAGATCATTCAAAACCTTAGAAAGTCATACACACATGTGAGTCTGGCTGTGTAGATAGATAGTAAGAAGTTCCAGCTCTCTCCTCCACTGCCTACACCCAACGTCAAAATTCCCTCAGCTAAAGTCACTCACTGAGACCATCTCTTTACATTTGGGATACCCTGTTAAAAGGCAGCTAAGGTTACTAATGAAGCTGCCTAATGACACTTTAGTACGGACTAATCTGTCAGATCAGCTACTCTGTCAAAAGGAACCTTAAGTTAGAACGTGGTACAAATGAAGGAAGCAGAGAATGACAGGTGCTGCCTGAATTCTCAGAACCAAGTCTCACCGCCAGTGGAGCTCATACCCATGTACCTGTCAGCTGTTAACTTCCTTTCCATTCTATAGGTCAGGCAAGTGTTTCTCCTTTCCTCCATCTTTAGGCCCCAGTCCAACTGCGGTTAGTCCCTAGTTTACACCCTCAACAGGCTATATATAAAAAGCCTTGGTATTGATACCTCTACCTAACCACTTGCTTTGGCATTTCCACTGAAGCCATCTGCTGACACTTCAAGCTTAGGATGAATAAAATTCTCTAAGAGATTTTCTAAGAGGGATAAAATTAATTGAGAACAAAGGTGGGATATAAACCCAGATTGATTAGCCCTCTACTTAATGCTCTTTCTGCTATAACATAATTAAGTCTGAATTAACAGGAAAAAAGATCACCTTTTTGTATGGCTTAAGAAATAAACTCAGAATCAAGAGAAGAGAAATGTAAAAGTTATAGAAATCTAGGAAAAAGAATAATAAATTTAAAGTCAGTCAGTCAATTCAGTTGCTCAGTAATGTCCAATTCTGTGTGACCCCATGGACCGCAGCACGCCAGGCCTCCAGGTCCATTACCAACTTCCAGAGTTTACCCAAATGCATGTCCATGGAGTTGGTGATGCCATCCAACCACCTCATCCTCTGTTGTCCCCTTCTCCTCCTGCCTTCAATCTTCCCCCGCATCAGGGTCTTTTCAAATGAGTCAGTTCTTTGCATCAGGTGGCCAAAGTATTGAAGTTTCAGCTTCAACATCAGTCCTTCCAATGAATATTCAGGACTGATTTCCTTTACGATTGACTGGTTTCATCTCCTTGCAGTCCAAGGGACTCTCAAGAGTCTTTTCCAACACCACAATTCAAAAGCATCAATTCTTCGGCACTCAGCTTTCTTTATAGTCCAACTCTCACATCCATACATGACTACTGGAAAAACCATAGCCTTGACCAGACGGACCTTTGTTGGCAAGCTAATGTCTCTGCTTTTTAATATGCTGCTGTCTAGGTTGGTCATAACTTTCCTTCCAAGGAGTAAGTGTCTTTTAATTTCATGGCTGCAATCACCATCTGCAGTGATTTTGGAGCCCAAAAAAATAAAGTCTGACACTGTTTCCACTGTTTCCCCATCTATTTCCCATGAAGTGATGGGACCAGATGCCATGATCTTAGTTTTCTGAATGTTGAGCTTTAAGCCAACTTTTTCACTCTCCTCTTTCACTTTCATCAAGAGGCTCTTTAGTTCTTCTTCACTTTCTGCCATAAGGGTGGTGTCATCTGCATATCTGAGGTTATTGATATTTCTCCCGGCAATCTTGATTCCAGCTTGTGCTTCTTCCAGCCCAGCGTTTCTCATGATGTACTCTGCATATAAGTTAAATAAGCAGGGTGACAATATACAGCCTTGACGTACTCCTTTTCCTATTTGGAACCAGTCTGTTGTTCCATGTCCAGTTCTAACTGTTGCTTCCTGACCTGCATACAGGTTTCTCAAGAGGCAGGTCAGGTGGTCTGGTATTCCCATCTCTTTCAGAATTTTCCACAGTTTATTGTGATCCACACAGTCAAAGGCTTTGGCATAGTCAATAAAGCAGAAATAGATGTTTTTCTGGAACTCTCTTGCTTTTTCGATGATCCAGCGGATGTTGGCAATTTGATCTCTGGTTCCTCTGCCTTTTCTAAAACCAGCTTGAACATCTGGAAGTTCACGGTTCACGTATTGCTGAAGCCTGGCTTGGAGAATTTTGAGCATTACTTTACTAGCGTGTGAGATGAGTGCAATTGTGCGGTAGTTTGAGCATTCTTTGGCATTGCGTTTCTTTGGGATTGGAATGAAAACTGACCTTTTCCAGTCCTGTGGCCACTGCTGAGTTTTCCAAATTTGCTGGCATATTGAGTGCAGCACTTTCACAGCATCATCTTTTAGCATTTGCAATAGCTCAACTGGAATTCTACCACCTCCACTAGCTTTGTTCATAGTGATGCTTGCTAAGGCCCACTTGACTTCATATTCCAGGATGTCTGGCTCTAGGTGAGGGATCACACCCATCGTAATTATCTGGGTCCTGAAGATCTTTTTTGTATAGTTCTTCTGTGTGTTTTAAATTTAAAGTAAGGGGAATAAGTAGACCCAAACTAACTGAAGAACCATTTTAAATCATTTATGTTTATCTGAGCTTACCCGTGTGTGTGCTTAATCACTCAGTCCTTTCCAACTCTTTGCAACCCCATGGACTATAGCTCTGTCTATGGGGATTCTCCAGGCAAGAATACTGGAGTGGGTTGCCATGCCCTTCTCCAGGGGATCTTCCCAACCCAGGGATCGAACCCAGGTCTTCCACATTGCAGGCAGATTCAAGGTTATCTGGATATACCTATGCAATAAATCAAGTTATTTAATTGTCAGTAGTTCATACTTATCCTATAACCTTGTCCATAGTTATGACTTGTTAGGTAGTTAGAATAGGAAAAAGGAGTCCAGAATGGCGGTGGCTAAAAGACAAGGAAGGGGAAAGCCTGCAAAAATAGAACAAAGGAAGGTCTGAGGACCAGAGTGAGGACCTCAGTAGAACAAACAGCACTCCTGGCTAGCCCAATTTACATAGGGCAAGCACAGCGAGAGGAGAAAAAAACCATGTAAAAAGAGGAGCCAAAGGGCGGGGGGTCTCTCCCCTCTTCTCTTCGCGTCTTTAGGGTCAGTATGCCCTCACACCTCGAGGATGTATTTCCTTTATTTTCTAAATAAAACTGAGGTGTAACATGGAGCTGTAACACCAATCTGTCTGAGAGCTGTGACATGGTCTGTCTGAGAGCTGTGACACAGTCTGTCCGAGGGCTGTTATGCTGGACTGTCACTTCAAATTTTTGATGGGACGAGACAGAACCAAGGAAATTCCACACTCCTCCAACAGACTTATCATGCTATTCCCAGGGCATGTGTTGCCATTATGGTTTTGAAGCAGAAAATAAAAGAATGGAGAAGACTGCATTCCCAGTAGCAATGCCCAAGAACAAACCCCAAATCTAAGAGTAGTAGTAACCACTTGACTGACTTCCCTAACTTCTCTTCTTGGAAGTGTCAACCTCAACATGACTGAAATCAAGTACCTAATATTCCCTTCAGAAGTTTCTCCATTTTGGTGATTTCATAATAACCTGGAACTTTGGAGTTATGCTTGACTTTCCCTTTCCATCACCCACCAGAGCTCATCCACTGGCAAGTTCTCAATTTTCCCAAATATGCCCCAAATCTGCTTTCTTTTCCATCTCCACTGCCCCTAACCAAGACCAGGCTACCATCATTTCTCACTTTGACTCATAAGTGAAAGGTCTTCTCATTTCTCTTTTTTTCCCCCATTTCTACTCTTGATCTTCCTATTTGCAACCACCATAATCATTTTAACCCACAGATGTGACTGTTATTCCCCTTCTCAGATTCCTTAAACAATTGATTCCCCAGGGCTCCTAGGATAATAGCCAAAATCTTTAACTTTGCCTACAAACACAATGGGATTCAGCCAATGCCTTCATCTCCACATTCATCTCTTACAACCCATTCTCTGACCTCCAGCCATAATGATATTCTTTTCAATTCCTCAAAAATTTCCTGTCCTCTTTCAGTTTTTGCTACAGTAAGAGTCCCTTGGGGTCAGACGTGTTCACACAAGATCAGCAATAAAATTATCCTAATTTCAGGAGACTTCCCTGGCAGTCCAGTGGTTAAAACTGTGTGCTTCCAATACAAGGGTTCAATCCCTTGCTGGGGAACTAAGATCCCACATGCCATATGGCACGGCAAAAAAAAAAAAAAAAATTATCCTAATTTCAAACACAGTGTGAAGATCCTTGAAACAATAGAGAAACTGATTATACAGGACATGAAAGATCTTTAGTATAATATTTATTCAGTTTTCAGTCAACCAGAATCAGTTATGCCATAATTTATGAGTCACCCATAACAACCAAATGGTCAATCATACCTGTTCTACTTTTCCAGTATTCATATTTCTAACTTTATTATTTCTAATTATTTTGGTGACTTTTCTTTTTTTTTTCAATTTGTATTTTTCTTAGCCCAATACACCTATGAAAGCAGAAATCAAAAAATAGTTTTAACAGAGCTAAATACATTGATAGAATATCATGATTCTTGCATGATAAACCAAAGTTACTTCTCTAAAACAAGTTCATAATTTTTAAATGACTATATTATTGCTTTATGGCTTCCAAATATTCATCTACTCTTGATTTAAAAATACAAATTTCATATTAGTCTGTGTTACATCACTTAAAATAGAAGTATACTACTGTTTTTTTATTTTCTAAAACTGCTTCAGTTGCTGCCTAAATGGTTCAGATATAATGTTACTAGTAGCCTACTGTTGTGTTAGCCTCTACTGACAACTTCTAGGAGGGAACAATCAGAACAATTGTTAACTACTTGACTTATTTAAGTTCATAAATAAAAGTTAAAGCATACTTTTTGTGAGAAAAGTTGCTCACCATCTGAGTCAATGTAATCAAAACTTGGGGTGGAGGCTCTATACTCAATGACAATGACTCAATTCTACTAGGAACTGGAAAATATGTGGAAAAAAAAGTACACTAAATTTTTATGGAAGAAATGTATACATACATGAAGTGAGGGGAGGCAAAGGGCCTAATTCTACCAGTTATGGGGAAAGGGGTTATCTGGAAAAGTTTCTTGATGAATGAAGATCAGTGATTGCTTCTGTGTTTTTAAGATTGGAAATTAAGGATCAAACCAATCCTAAACAAAATCATAAAGAAATTTTAACTTAACCATCACAGATTGACATTTCAAAAAAAAAAAACAGATGCCAAGAGACCAACTTTTCAGAGAGATACAAGCTTAACTCCTTAAGACGATTATATATTATGGACAAACATGTGCTAAAATGTGTTCCCCTGTTCACTGTTTCTAAATAAATACATATTTCTGCTTAGTACACTGTTCTTTCAACAATATTAAGGTGAATTCTGGTCATTTAGAATTACTAATGGCATGGGTCTAAGTATTCATATTCATCTTTTAACATTTCTATTAATACTGTTATGCTAAATAGTTCAGAAAAAAGTATAAAAATAAGAAATATAGATTCAAATAGGCATTCACATATTTTATAATTGTTCTTGTTGTTTGAAAAACCATTTTTACCTGATTAAGGACCTTCTGAAGGTGTGGGGTCCCCATCCGATCAGCAATATGTCTGTAAGCCGGGTGTGAGAGAAAAAATTTCCTTTCTGCCAACATGGCAGCCTTTATGTCCTTCTTCCCATCTATGTCCTTCTGGCTCCTGTTTACCACCCCCACGTAACCTAAAACAAAACACACACCTATGGAGTTGGGGGCACTTTTGGTTTCTTTTTCTGGGGAAATTTTAAAGCTCTTGAAGAGGCCAAATAAGAAAAGCAAAATTATTTTAAGACTCTGAAGAATAGATCCCCTTACAAAACTCAATTTGAGATATCAGTATTTAATGAAGGCTGGACAATTTGGCTAATGTTGATTTTTTAGCATTAACAAAATAACATCCTTTTGTCCTTAAAAGACCTGTGCATTTAAATAGAATAAATCTCTATGCAGCTTTGTCAGACAGTAGCAAGTAAATAATTCAGACTTAAACAGAATACATTTATGCAGACTATGATGAATAATTACACCTTTCCTTCAAACCCCTTCCTTTTCCTGTTTTATTCCTATTGTTTGAAGGAATAGTTCTTTCTTTGGATCAATTTTACTACATCATTTGGGAACAACATGTCATTCCATAAAATGTTTAACTAAGCTTAAATCCATTCTTCGCAATGTGGAGGCATAAAAATTCAGCCTCCCATTGGTTTCCCAGTTGTTTCTCTGCCAGACCATCAAAGGAAGTCCTGTATAGGACACAGTACATTACCCCTGCGAAGTGGCAGCAGCTTATTCTCTAGAACATCCCTGGCATCTGTTCCTTCATCCATGAGATCCAGTTTGGTGATGACTCCAATGGTTCTCAGACCTGCACCACAAACAAACCACACATTACACAATTTGCAGAGACCAACAAGTTTCAGAGACATATATGTCTCAATGTTAATTGCAAAGCACTCATATTTCTGGTTCTTTCCCTGTTCCTCCCCATCTTATTTTGTTTTCTAATCCACAACTATCCCATCTGGTAAATGTCAACAGGATGAGGCAGAGAGCTGCCAAACCACCCATCCATAAGATAACTCTTGATCCAGGAGAGAAAAAAACAAATAGCTGTTTCACCAAAATACTTCTAAATGTATGAGTTTATTTTTGTACTACATGTACATGGAAATTACATATCTAAATTATCCCCTCAGGGATTCCACACAGTATGGATGCTTCATTTTATGCATTACATTATTAAAAACAAAAAAATAGGTTACACATGGACCAGTGATGTGGGTATGTCAGAAACCAAAGCTTATCATTGATCCAGGTCTGAGCACTTGAGATCAAAATATAAAGAGAAGAAAATTAGGTACAGGATACCATCATTACCAAAAATAAACTCACAAGTCTCACATATTCATTGTTGCTTAGAAAGGGAAACATGACTTAATGGAAAAAAGACTGAAATAGGAATTCTGAGCCATGGATTCTAGTCTCAAGATAAGTCACTTAACTCTCTGAGTCTCAATTTTCCTCTTCTATAAAAGAAACAGTTGGAAATCATGAATCAAAGGTTCCTTTCAGTAATAAAATAATGCAAAAACCTAAACATTTTATGTAGCATATCAGATATACTGTATTTGTTCTTTGCTCCCATCATTAGATAAAATGAACAATATTTGCCTACTGATTCATCTTTTTCAGTGTATTTATTTGGCTTTCCAATTAAACATGGTTAACTGAATACAAGTTTTTATTTTTTACCTGAAACCACTCTCAATGGCTTCCTTGATAGCTCAGTTGGTAAAGAATCTGACTGTAATGCAGGAGACCCCAGTTCAATTCCTTGGTTGGGAAGTTCCCCTGGAGAAGGGATAGGTTACCCACTCCAGTATTCTTGAGCTTCCCTTGTGGTTCAGCTGGTAACAATCTGTCTGCAATGTGGGAGACCTGGATTCGATCACTGGTTTGAGAAGATCTCCTGTAGAAGGGAAAGGCTACCAACTCCAGTATTCTGGCCTAGAGAATTCCACGGACTGTTTAGTCCATGGGGTCACAAAGAGTCAGACACGACTGAGTGACTTACAGGTTCACTCTCAAATAATGCTTAATACTTTCAAAACAGCTATGGTTTTAAATGCTTTAGACTAGTGACTACTGAAGTCTGAAAAGTTGAAAAGTCCGAAAATAAAACATTGGACTATTGCTGTGAAGTCTATCATTCCATAATTCAAATAAACACACACAGAACACCAACTGATAATATTTCACATTTAAATATAAACAGACAGCCAAGGAGATGCTCTAATATGAAACTAAAACAAGTAAACACTATACAACTGAACTTGAGGGACTTCCCTGGAGGTCTAGTAGTTAAGATTCTGCTCTTCCACAATTCATATGGAAACACAAAAGACCCTGAATAGCCAAAGCAGTCTTGAGAAAGAAGAATGGAGCTGGAGAAATCAAGCTTTCTGACTTCAGGTTATACTACAAAACTACGCTCATCAAGACAGTATGGTACTGGTACAAAAACAGAAATATAGACCAATGGAACAAGATAGAAAGTCCAGAAATAAACCCATGCAACTATGGGTACCTTATTTTGGACAAAGGAGGCAAGAATATAAAAATGGGGCAAAGACACCCTCTTCAATAAATGGTGCTAGGGAAAATGGACAGATACATGTAAAAGAATGAAATTAGAACACTTCCTAATACACAAAGATAAACTCAAAATGGATTAAAGACCTAAATGTAAGACCAGAAACTATCAAACTCTTAGAGGAAAACATAGGCAGAAGACTCCATGACATAAATCAAAGCAAGATCCTCTATGACCTACTTCCTAGAGTAATGGAAATAAAAACAAAAGTAAATAAGTGGCACCTGATTAAACTTAAAAGCTTTTGCACAGCAAAGGAAACTATAAGCAAGGTGAAAAGACAACCCTCAGAATGGGAGAAAATAATAGCAAATGAAACAACTGACAAAGGATTAATTTCCAAAAATATACAAGCAGCTCATACAGCTCAATATCAGAAAACCAAACAATCCAATCAAAAAGTAGGAAAAAGACCGAAATAGACATTTCTTCAAAGAAGACATACAGATAGCTAACAAACACATGAAAAGATGCTCAACATCACTCATTGTTAGAGAAATGCAAATCAAAACTGCAATGAGATATCACCTTACACCAGTCAGAGTGGCCTTCATCAAAAAGTCTACAAACAATAAATGCTGAAGAGGGTGTAGAGAAAAGGGAACACTCTTGCACTGTTGGTGGGAATGTAAGTTGATACAGCCACTATGGAAGATGGTATGGAGATTCCTTAAAAAACTAGGAATAAAACCACCACATGACCCAGCAATCCCACTCCTAGGCATATACCCTGAGGAAACCAAAATGGAGAGACACATGTATCCCATTGTTTATTGCAGTACTATTTACAATATCTAGAACATGGACGCAACCTAGATGTTCATTGACAGATGAATGGATAAAGAAGTAGTGGTATATATACACAATGGAATATTACTCAGCCATAAAAAGGAACACATTTGAGTCAGTTCTAATGAGATGGATGAACCTAGAACCTATTATACAGAGTGAAGTGAGTCAGAAAGAGAAAGATAAATACCATATTTTAACACATATATACGGAATCTAGAAAAATGGTACTGAAGAATTTACTTACAGGGCAATAATGGAGAAACAAGACATAGAGAATAGACTTATGGACATGGGGAGAGAGGAGTAGAGGGTGAGATGTATGGAAAGAGTAACATGAAAACTTACATTACCATATGTAAAACACATAGCCAATACGAATTTGCTGTATGGCTGAGGAAACTCAAACAGAGGCTCTGTATCAACCTAGAGGGGTGGGATGGGCAGGATGATGGGATGGAGCTTCAAGAGGGAGGGTATATATGTATACCACTATTTTATCTACTACTGTGGGCAGGAATCCCTTAGAAGAAATGGAGTAGCCATCATGGTCAACAAAAGAGTCCTAAATGCAGTACTTGGATGCAATCTCAAAAATGACAGAATGATCACTGTTCATTTCCAAGGCAAACCATTCAATATCACAGTAATCCAAGCCTATGCCCTGACCAGTAATGCTGAAGAAGCTGAAGTTGAATGGTTCTATGAAGACCTACAAAAACCTTCTAGAACTAACACCCAAAATAGACGTCCTTTTCATTATAGGGGACTGGAATGCAAAAGTAGGAAGTCAAGAAACACCTGGAGTAACAGGCAACTTTGGCCTTGGAGTACAGAATGAAGCAGGGCAAAGGCTAATAGAGTTTTGCCAAGAGAACACACTGGTCATAGCAAACACCCTCTTCCAACAACACAAGAGAAGACTCTACACATGGACATCACCAGATGGTCAACACCGAAATAAGGTTGATTATATTCTTTGCAGCAAAAGATGGAGAAGCTGTATACAGTCAGCAAAAACAAGACTGGGAGCTGATTGTGGCTCAGATCATGAACTCCTTTTTGCCAAATTCAGACTTAAATTGAAGAAAGCAAGGAAAACCACTAGACCATTCAGGTATGACCTAAATCAAATCCCTTATGACTATACAGTGGAAGTGAGAAATAGATTTAAGGGACTAGATCTGATAGACAGA